GAAACCCATAGGTTTTACTACCTTTAATCTGTGATATTGACAACTCTTTATCTTAAAAACTAAAAGTGATTTTTTTCTAAAAAATAGATTAATACCTAAATCTGTATAACACAGTGGCATTATTTTAGACACAACCTGTATAATTTTAACATGTACTTAATTATAGATAACTGTTTATCAATTTGTGATTGTTTGTTATCAATATACAATACAATTAGTTTTTAAGATAAAGAGTTGTCAATATCACAGATTAAAGGTAGTAAAACCTATGGGTTTCACTTTTCTTCACTCGTTAATATAGATTAAAGTCATAGCCTACTTCTTCCGAACAGAGAATAAACGAAAATATCAATAAAAATATAAAATCTGCCTTTCCTTATTTTGTTCTTTAAAGAGAAATAACGTTCTATATACATATATACGAGTCATGCTGTAGCACGCAATCAATTATACTATCCTGAATATACAAAAATTTCAAAATACGCTTATCTAAGAAATAAACCAAATTTTCATTTAATCTTATTTTCATGTTTCATTTCCACTTTATTTCATTTTCTACATAAAATTAATGTGAATATTCACTGAATAACTAAAGTTGGAACACATATTATGACTGATTATCATGACCCGAAGAGTAAGCCGGAAAGTCATAGTAGTCAAAAAGAACAGTTTATCTGCTGCTGAATATAAAAGAAGAAAGTATGATTTATTAAACGTTAATCACCAATATGGAGAGCCACATATCTCAAAAACTAAACCGGCTCTTCTTCTTCCGAATAGGGAAAAATCTCGAGACCCGCTTCTCCAGAAAAAAATCATCAAATTTTGATTTGTTGTACTGTAGTGTAGTAGGAAAGCATGAAATCTCAGCCAGATCCTCGAGTACATCACGGTTATCTTAGTGTACAGCGTAATCGACATTCCTAATATCTATGACTCCCAAACCACTTTTACATATTAGCATGTGATAAGGTCAAATAGAATATATATACCATCTATAATTAATTAGCACAGTTGCTATTTTCCTTGATGTGTTATATATAAGAGTTAATAAAAAGAAATCTATAGAAATAATGAATAAAATGGAGTAAAAAAGATAGATTTTATGTATTTTCTCTCTTATAGAAACATCACAGAGGAATGCTTTACATTATTCTACGATTGATCCGATTGATTCGAATGATCCGTTTGATCCGAGCGTAGTTTTGACGGCTTCCCTAATATATAATAGAAAAGAATGTGATAATGCCAGACGACAGCTGTGTAAACTGCATTCTCCCTTCTCTCTTCCATGTGTGACGACCACCTGCGCCTGTACGTCTGCAGAAATCGTCGAGGCATCTCCTATAGACATCATTGGTGTGAGTAGATAGAAGAGAAACATTATCATGGCCTTATGGCATACGCGCAAAATGGGCTGAAGCATGTTCATATAGATATTAAAAGCATTTTCAGTAGTCAACTATCATATTTTAATTATTTTATAATTCTAGAAACCATAAAAAGTTCAATAATAAAGTATAAAACTCAATAAAATTGGAATATAAGCTAAATTAGAGAAAGGATTTTGTACAGATCCTCTAGAAAACCAAGATCACCTGGTATATGAATATTATCGATCCCCTACGTTTATTCAGTTTTAAATTTTCCATCCATTGACGTTAAAACCAGCTTTATATCACCTACCCATCTTAAGTTATTTCAGATTTTAAAAAAATGAAGTTTTTAAAATTTGAAAACCAATTTACAAGTTTAAATTTTGTGTTAGAGACTTGAATGTTTTTCAAAATGTTCTTCTTTCCATGTTGAATCCGAATATCATATTGAAAAGGTTTTTATAATACGCAGTATTTTACAAAACTCATTTTTGTGAACACCTATACCGGAAAAACCACCATTTTCCAGAAATCGTACTTCCGAAGCTTAAGAACCGGAGGACAGCTCGATACGTTCAGCCATTCTCAAGATAGTCTATACCAACTTTCTCATGGAACATGCTTATTCTTGAGAATTGATCGTTTTTGTAACGGAAGTTTCTACACTGTAAAAAATAAAGTGTGTAAACAATACACATAAAGGGAACGCCAGATCGATTCCGAATGCCCGACGTAAGTGTGTAAAGTACCCACTGAGAAGTGATCGTCTTGCTCTACACACCGAGACCAATGATACAGTCTATTTGTCTAAACTATCTTGGCTAGGAATTCTTCATATTTATCAATCCATCGTTCAAATCTACCATATCACAATGGACAATCACGCCATATGTAGGTAAAAAACGAAAGTGAGATTTTTCGAGATTTGAATAGCATATCATACACTTCGGCATACGCTCTATACCTTTTTTTGTGCAAGTGTTTTTTGTGTTGCAAGTGTTTTTCTAGGTGTCATTTCTAGCGGGAAAGTCGAGGATGAAATTATTTTACGAAAACAGAGCGGTTAAGATAGAAAATCATTTTGCGACAAACAATAGACGATATTTAGTAAAATTTTACATAGCCTAAAACTTTCGCTCTACCCATTCGTAAAAAGAACTTCTGTTTTGGCTTTTCCACCATCGAGAAAATTAACTTTCTTTTTTTGCTACGTGTTTTTCGAAAATGTGTGCTGAGTGTAATCGGTTTCCGATTTTTTCCGAGGCTTCAAATTCAGTGAATTTTTTACGGAAGGTAGACCTACTAACGGTGCATATATACTGATAGCGCAAACGCTCCTGAACAAAGCTATAGGTTTTCGAAAACACCCTCGGTTTTTGAAATAAATTACGTTTTTTCTAGGTTCATTAAGATTTAAATTAAAAAATAACGAGATATTTGGAATCAACGGAAAAGACTGCGTCAAGTGGTGTATAATTCAGCCGTATTTGTACCGATGCGTTTGAATTTAGTTGATTCCTTTTTTTCTTGCATATGCAGGGTGGGGATTTTTGAATGAAATTTTAAAATTTGAAATTATTGACAGATGAGATCGTCTAAACACTATCTCTCTAGGTTATCGATGATTCTCTATCCAATGCAATTGTTTTTGAGTTTTTCAAAGGTTTTCTAAGTAGTTTTGTGGAGACCGGATCTTTGAAAAACCACTTCGAAAACTCTTTTAGAATTTGAAAAACATTGCATTAGATAGAGCACACAAGATAACCTATAAAAAACGCGCTTTTAAGTTTTCTTCTAACTTGCAGGCCAAAAGACAACGTGCCTAGTGAAAATTGTCCACTGTGCATATGGCGATGTCTTTTTTCAAGTTTTTTTCCTATCCGTTTTTGCTAGAAATGAGAGCATATAAACTTTCGAAGATGGTGATCGTGATTCTGAAATTATTTTTTCATTTGATGCAGTAGTTGGGGTGAAAAATGAAAAATAAGAAAGCTGTTTAACATACCTTTAACATATTTTAACCCGTTTGTTAACTGATTTAAAAAAACTTTACTGCCGGCCCTTCCAACTTTCACTCAATTTTTCTCGTGTCTGAACGCGTTTTTCTCCTTGTTCGGTCTCCGTTCTCAAGTGACGCGTTCTTCGAGTAGTGGAACGCAGTCTCAGTCTCATGGACCGCATTCGAGAGCGTTTTTCTTTGCTTTGTCCTAGATTCGACCTGAGCCTTATGATCAGCAGTCCAACGAGTTATTATTAGGCTACATCGCGCTTATTACTTATAAGTTGAATTGCTTTTTTATATTTAAGTTTAACGAGAGATTAGAGCTAGACATTCGTTCGATATCCTAACGGTAATCTCATTCTAACGATGACCAAAATAGTTTTTAGTACGATGTTGGAAGATTCAACATTGTTTTGAGAACTGTAACTGACTTTGATTAAAACTGAGTTGGAGACCACAGTTTTGCGTATTCTTTTTACAAAGTTGTTTATTAGTTATCTTTGTCTTTACATATTATAAAGGCCCATGTGGGCTTTATTGTTTATATCAGACTAACAAACAGAGCATAATCTCTGTACATTGAGCAAGGAGCGCCAAAGCGCGATTGCGAATAATGACAGCCATATCCAAGAACCGAGATATAGAAATTTTAAGCTTTTTCAATATCAGGGTGTTGAGAACAGAGTTGGAATTCCCCTAGGAATCGAGGAACTGACTTTCAATTCCTTCACAGAGTGAATTCTGTTGACAATTCCTGAACAGATTAAAAATCCTATTTTTTAGTTCTTGGATAGCCCTCAGAAGCACATCAGCCACGACGTTCATATGCCATCTTGAGATCTAATCAACGACGTTCTGTTCTTTCGACTTGAAACAATTAAAAACGCGTTCTTACTGAATGCATCCGAATGCGCTCTTGAAGGACAGACTCTTCTAAGTCAGAAATGCGTTCTTGCTAAACGCACGAAAGCGTTCTAAGACTGTAAGAATGATCATTTTTGAACTGTTCAAACACGTTCTGTTAGGGACGCGTTCCCACAGTCACAGAACACGATTGCTATTGAACGCATTCGAACGCGTTCCCCAGGAACGGGTTCTTATCGATCAAGGACACATTCAATGACAACACGTTTTTCTTCAGAAGAAACGAGTTCGTCTTTACTGAGACTGCGTTCGAACTAGTTGCGAGGTGTTCTTTTTTACTAAGAACGCGTTCTTAGTCTATAATACCCGTTCCATTTTTTCGGGAACGCGTTCTTGACTGTAAAGTTCTTCTATGTAAACTTTTTTTCATGGGTATAATACATTAAACAATATTTTGTTGGAAAAAACCGTACCTTTGTGTCCAGTATAGCCTTGTTTATGTTTGCCTTTAGTCGATTTACCCACATTGCAAATGGCAGAAATATGATTTGATTGAAAGCCAATTTCATTGTTGCACACAAGAATACGGTCGGAGGTGAGAATAAAACGTAGTGTAGGTAAACGATCGAATGCATATTGATTATCATCGGCATTTTGAATGAGTTCCAAAACAAAATGACCTTGTTCTGAGTAGAGATCATTCGATAATTTTTCTAAACTTCGTTCAATCATGCCTTGAAGATTAGTTACAATTGACTGTCCGGCTGCATCGAGACTACTATCGACACCGAATCCTTCACGAATCTTCTTGATATGTTCGAACGCAACACGAGATGGATCATTATCATCCATAATCGGATTATCCATGGAAGTACTAGGATTACTTGTTGTCGTAGTCGATGGCGAAACTAAGGCTAGTGTTGCTTCGACTTTCACGGGCACGATGACATTGTCTTTAAAAAAATGACTGTATCAGATATTCAAGAGATGACATAAGAGAGTTGTGAAAAATGTTCAAATCGCTTAACTTTACCCCATTTAAGAAAGTAAACACATGAAAAAGCAGTTTCTTAAAGAACAAATATATCTATTTTGACGCTAACTTTGGTCGTTTGAAAATAAAAATCACTTGCAAAAACTTTCAGAATCAGCAAAGAATGGTAGGCTATTTTTGACAGTGGCTCGCGGCGACATGTCCTCACGGATTCTCGCCGATGGCGATCCGAGACACTCTGTTGGTTATAATCTCGAACGGCGATAAACAGTCGCCACTGAAGTGAAAGAGTTCTGCTTTTTACTAGTATTTGGTTTTTCTGTAAAATTTGAATTGGTAAATTTCGAAAAGTGTGAGATAAAAAAGGCTGATTTACCTTGACGCATGACTTCTTTCTTGTGTGAATCTTTCTCTACCTGCTGAACAGTCGATTCTTCTTGCAGTTCCTTTATTCCTTTCCATTTATTCACATTTTTCCACTCATCAATATCGAGTGTATAGCCCCACATTTCTAATTTGCACTTCTGCTTTGCATTAGCCAATTTCCAGATTGTTTGCCGAGCATTCATCACTCTATTTTCTTTGTCATTATCGAATATATTGTCGAGTAACTCGAGCACGAGCTCTTGAACGATTCGTGTCTGACCGATAAGTTCTGGCAGATAAGTTAGAAATTCGAGTACATATTGCATCGGCTCGATAGATTCAGGTTGCAATTGGGCTGATGTTCGAAGACGAAGAAACCATGTAGTCATTACTTGTCGATATATGGTTAATGGTAGTCGATTGACTTGAACATACTCGCAAGTGATCAATGCACAAAGGTGACCAATAGCCGAGCAAATATTCTTTTTTTCAAGTTCTTTTTCGAAATTCTCAAGAGAAGAATCGCTTGGCAGACGTAAGAGTTCATGATTCGATGTTTCGAGCAAGAGAAGACGATCGAGTTCATAATCTTTTCGAGCAATGAACTTTTTAAGAGAACCATATCTTGGCTGAAAGAAATGTGTCCATTGCAACCATGTAAATAGATCGGACATTATTGGACATTGAAGAATAATTTGACACAGTTGAGCCTCATCGATAAGAAGCGACGATGGACAAATACCGAGTCGATTCAAGCCGACCACATCCAACATTGATTCTTCGAAACTATTCACATCGCGTGAAAGAGTTAGGTATATAAAAATAGCTGTTCGGTGAGGTTTCAGTTCTTTATCTATCATTGAACTGTGTCAGTAGGGTTGGGTATACTGTTTTTGAAAACTATTTAAGAACCATTCCACGAGAGCCACGGCCTACCGCCATAGAGGGGTGCTCAATCGAAATTTTAGATTCGCCTGAAATCTATTCCATCTGTGAAGCATGTTGTTTTAGATATAGAACTAAATGTTTAGCCTTCCTGGATGTCTCCCTGGCGAGATATCAGGATCTTGTGAATCATTTTTCACCAGGACTATCGAAGGTTTTACGGGATGAGAACAGAAAATCACCTCTCAAATAGACTTTCTTCGAGCCGACCGATGGGATTTCGCTCAGATTTTTTTTCCAGAGACCATCGAGTTAAGGACTACTTGATGCTGCAAATAAAACTATGGAATCTTTATATGAGCGTCGTAGCTTACGTGGACCGGGTCTTAAGAAAAATGTTGTTTTTACTTCTGTGGTCGTGATAGTGAGAACGCCATTTTTTCACGGCACATTTGTTAGGAAGGAGAATATACTTACTGAATTATCGGATCCATTTTCCTATGTTGTTGTTGTTGTTTTGCTTTATTAATAACTTGCGAGCTTCGATTAAATCCAAGTAGTCCACCAAATTTGTGCTTGACTGCTTGTTCAACGGCTGACAATTGATCTTTAGTCATATGAATCTCTCTATTGCTTGAATGTTCATCATGTTGTTGTTCTTCTCTTCGATCATTGAGTACTATGAGTTGACTGACAAATGAATACATTTCTTGTCGATCTCCTATCGATGACGGATTTTCGTAGATAGATAATTCTCCATTAGGATCAATCTTTTCACGGAACTTATAAAGAAAGGAGATCAGATCAAGAATGCTATCGCAGTCATCATCATCGTTTACACCAAATTCAGAAAATGTTTTGACGGAATGCTGATCACATAGACATTTTTCTACATCGAATAGCTGTTTGATACTGAGAACTGTATCATAACGTTTAAGAAGCTTGACGAGATCAGAACATAATTGTTTTGCAGATGGTTGCGACTCATTTGGATGAGACCATATAGACGAGTTTTCAAAAGATGTTTCAATTGTTGTGCGAGATACACCGCCACTTACCATCGACTAAAAGACAGCAGATATTATGAATCGAGATGAAAATCATTTTGTCATTTTTCTCTGTCATTCAACTTTTTGTATCTTTTCGCTAAGAAATGATATCGTTGATAGAATTACAATAATAGAAAGTCCTAACCTCAAAGGGTTTACGCATTTAATATTGATTTTTCTACTCATCCAAATCGCCGCATGCTCTTTAGAATAATCAGCAAACTTACACTCTGTGGGTTGTGTTCTCTCTTTCGATTCGGTTGATTAAAACCAGATAATTGAGATGGCATCATTATATTCTCTCCTCCCGAGTTTGCCGTCTGAGACTGATAGAGTTTTTGTAATTCAGTAATGAATCTGTCCGGCTTGTCGATTGTACCCAAATAGATGCTAAGGTTTAATAGACATTGCAATAGTGAATCATTACCAATTTTCACTAATATAGCACGAACGGTTTTCTGTTCAGGCACAGTCAAATGTTTTTCGACAACCGAACAAAGATGATTGAAAACGGCAATAGGTGACTTTTTTGTGTAGGATAAAAGTTCGAGTTCATTATCCATTTCTTGTTTCATTTCCGATAATCGAGTTTGAAATACATTCATCATTTGTTGTCGAACATCCAAATCGGCCTGTCTTTTATGTTGAGTGTGATCTCGAGCTATTTTTCTTGTTACCTATCAATCAGAAAAAGAATGCCTCACATCGTAGAAAAATAGCTTCTTTTTTTGAATAATCAAACATACTTCGGTTAAATATGGAAATGATTTGCAATATATGCCAAGTTCTTCACGTTTCTGTAATTGGTTTTGTTTGACAAGTTCATCAAGAAATTCTTCATAGAAACAGCGTCGTCCTTTATTTTTGTCTTGAAATTCGAGAAATGCATTTATGATATCTCCACTAGTTATTGCTGGTATTGGTTGTTGTTTTGATGATTTATATTTGAATACTCGTTTCACATCGGGATGTTTATCGAGTGGTCCTAAGCTGGCATCTTCGTAGTTGTCAACTTTGAGAAATTTAGCGAGCAATGGACCAAGATCGTGCAGAGTACATAAATTGAAAAGTTGTTCAAATATTTGCATGTAAAACGTAACATCTTTATTATAATGGATAAGATTCTTTAGTGGATTGAGATTACGTTGATCGACGCCTAGTTCACGAAACGATTGAACGCCAAAATAGTCAAAAAGTTCTCGTTCAACGTCTTGAACCGATACAAATTTATGACGTAAATGAATAGACAGAATAATCTCGCACAATTTATTTTCAACACTTTCTTCTAAATTCGACTTGGATCGAACTTCTGGCTGAGCGTTAGAATTGCCTAAAGTGCAAAAGGAGAATGTTTCGTTTGTAACAGACGTTTCAGAAAAATCAATGAAGAATCAGATCGTTTTCCAACGAGCCGGTCGGGCGAATCATTTTGTCGCATCTGTCCAACTCAACGGAATTTTTCAATACTGTCTTCTTCTGCTGAGAAATTTCCGTACTTAGTTAAACCAGCGATCGAGGTCAAAACAGCCCCATAGAATTGCAAACGTATGATTGGCATTTTGAAAGTACTAACAAAGGTTTTTACCCGCTAGCGAACGATCAGTCGAATAAGTTTTGTCCATGTTAGTGACTTTTTTCTTTGTCTGTTCAGGTAGAAAGTCTTGTAACGCTAGAGTTTTCGGTTGCCCTGCCAGACTTTTCCAAGGGCTAGACTTTTTTCCAGCCGATGTTCGTGTTGAATGTTCAACTGAAAGCAGAATAATAGAAATAAAATAATTGAATTTTACATTGAGTAAGAAGTATTTCACCTGATATAACTTCTGCTTTTTGTTGTTCGTATCCAACTGACGTTGATGGCTGCCGATTCTTCGAAATAAATTAATTTTAAAAAAAACATTGACTAATGATATATATTTACTTCAACAGGATGTGGTGCTCTGTCAGACACAGAGCTTGTGGAAGACGCGGGGAGCAGTGGTGGAAATAATTCATCGTACGCAACTGCTCCAGATGTTGATGATCCGACTGCAGAAATTCTCTTTTGTCCATCTTTCGGTTGTTGCTCGTCTTTTGGACCAATATTCTTGCGAGTATTGCGACTCATTAATCTTATCGTCGTCGTCGCAGACAGAAAAACAAACTGAAACTGTACACTCTGGTGTGGAGGTTGGCTGATGGTGTCTCAACTTTTTCCTGTTTGGTAAAAGAAAGGTAATAAAAAGAAAATAGAATTGCTACGACTTATGTGCCACTTATTGATTGAATGTTGTTGGAATCAAAATGGAGAGACGTATTGAGAAACAACTTATGATTGATTCGTGTAGTTTCGTTGATTCAGAATGGAAATTCTCTTTGTTGATGTTCACTTCTCGTGCTGCTTTTGACTATGAAATATGTTGATCTGGCACTCAATCGGCGAAGGTACATACTTGTTATTTTTCTTTTGTCTGACTTTTTTTCTTTCTCTGGGTATTTTTGCCACCAAAGAGAGAATTGCAACACTGATAGAAATGACTGTTTATTGTTATATCTTTCTTTTTGCCTCTTATCAGAAGAAAGACGAAAGAAAAAAGGACTCTCCTTAATGCGGTCGTGACAACGAAGAAATAAAATTTTAAATTTCTTGGAAAAAATAAACATACTTATATGCGAAACAGTCAAAAAAAAGGATATAAAATACTTATAGCAAGCACTACAGCGTGAAAGTAATTACTTCCCACCCAATCAGAGAGCCCTAGAGAACGTACTTGATGCAAGTACTTGATTACTTGCTAGGTACTTGGAAAAATTGGCAAGTGTTTTCAAAATTCCTCACTTGTCATGTACTTTCAGAAGTACTTCTCAATGGTAAAAATACTTGCTTTTGTTGCTAAGAAGTACTTTGTGAAAATCCTTGTCAAGTAAGGGCTTGACATACTGATTTCACTACGTTTTACCCGGTTTTCTTTTCGGGAACATAATGCTTCAGTTCTACATTGGAAAAACCAAAACGCAGACATAAACTACAAAAGGTTCAAATATAAAAGTGGTGTATACAGGCATCATCCGGAAATCGCCGTCGCCGCGGATTCTTATACGTTAAAGTGTTAAAGTATAAACGTGCATAATTGAGGGTGAGGACGTGAGGATGAGGGTGGAGCACTTCTTCACCCACTTCACTCTCA